CACTTGCATATACATATATACATGGATATGTATGGGAATAAGGAAGTGCAAGTAAAATTATATGTCACTTACATTGGTGCTCACGACTTTCATGAGCTCGGAGTAAATTGTAAGTACTGAATGTTGCAGACCATATTACACACTTGTAAGGGTCCATTACGGCCGATCAAAGGTGAGATGTACAAGATCTCACAACAGCACTTGCACTGCGAGCAGTGAGAGAGTGAAGGAATCAACTGGACCTGTCCTTAGCCTCACGTGTGATTAAAATACAAATCAGCACTGGAAGTATACTTGACCAACTGGATGGAAAGATCTGCATTCGGTGGAGAATAACTTAAGTTGGCCTCAAGTTTGATTCCAGGGAATGTGGTATTTAATGTGTCTGCCCTTGTGTGGTTGCTCGAACGAGTGCATATCCAAACAAGTATGTGCACAAACCGGTGTGTTTATTACTTAGCCACTCCCCCATTCCCCGGTATATGCCAAAAACTGTGAATTTGGTTAAAAAAGTAGGAAGTGATGTGTAAAGAGTGCGCATCCAAGTGATCTCAACAAAGAAGAGTGTAAGAATTAAAAAGACTACACAGATTCGCACAGGTGATTTAATAAGGTGTGAAGAAATGGGATATACTCACCACAGCCATCAAAAGCCCTACTGAGAGAGCCAAAGGATGAAGGTATAGGCGAACACGAACATTTAAGCAAAGTATTTGTTTTACCACGCAAGTAAGCCTGCTTTATGTCGGTGTTAAATTACAATTCGATAAATGAAATCTTGCAAGGCAGAAACCATGAAATTTCGCTACCTAATTTAAAGAAAACACGTGCAATGCAAGTCGTCTCATAATGTCAATCCAATCTCATGCACTATGATCTCTGAAAGAAACAAATTCATTACCTGCTGGTGTTAAATCGCCCTCACTGACACACAATCAACATACTAACCTCACGATTTGCTCTATCAAAGTATGTCAGTTTAATCAATTGTACAAACTACGCCAGAATGGTTTTTTAATACAGAGGCAGCACTACTGCAATTGTGTATTCTTCAGCCCTGCAGTCATCAGTCAATAAAATTGCCACTCAAAAATAAACTCCGGAAAAAGTGGGTATTTACTAGAAAATTTGAATTCAGGGTTAAATTCAAATATTTTGGCCAATGTTTTACAAATTCTTGCACTCACCACTTCTATTTGACTCGTAAACTAATCCACACATCCATCCATTTTTCTTCCACCTCACAGTCGGTTTGCTTCTTCTTCCATTGACCAGTTAATATTTGAAATAATAAGTGCGCAGATATTGTTGAGATTTTCATGCATTCATAAAGAGTAATTAAGGCCAGGAAAATCGTATTGAAATAATGCCGATATTTGACTTGTAACGTTCGGATATCCCACACTGCTCTTCTAATGAGTGCAAATCTGTTCTGAACTGTCCAGATTTTTCAATAGTGCAAGCAGTAGCGTGCAGGATTTGCGTCAAATTCATGATTAAAGTCACAATGAGTTGCATGGGATTGATGTGGTCGAGTTAGAATGGCAGCGCATGTTTGCAAAAAAAGCTGGGATCCTTGGCATTGGTGGAGCGTTGAG